ATTTTGTTTTTTTTAGGTTATCTAGTGCAATTTCTCATAATATTTTAGGGAAGATGTTCGATTCGTTCACCAAACCAATTTTCCCCCACAAACTCTTTTTGCTGGGTCCCCTTGGTGGTAATGTCACCAAAGCGCCGAACGATTGATGTGAATGTGTCGAAAATATCAAAATCAACCCTAAGAGCATCTCCAATGGTGAGAGCCTTCCATGGGTTCTCACCATTTTTTTAAGATTAAAATTTTCAAATTTATGAGATGAGAGCTTTTGTTAATTTTGCAACGTCTAATGGTAGGCTCTCTTTGTAGGTTCTCAGGAAAAAATTAAATTATTTTTTTTAATTATTTTATTTCATAAATCTGAAAAATATTATAATTCATAACATATTAAAGATACAATAATTTCATACATTTGAAAATAAATTTGAAAAAAAAAAACGATTAGTTATTCTGTTGATTGTTGCGAAATTTTCTCCATATATGCTCAACCAAATCACTTTTCAATTGTTGATGCATATTTTGATCACGAAGTTGATTTCGCATGCCCATATATTCTCGATAGTCGAATAGATTGGATAAAAGTCGACCATTTCGGATAAATACCATCTGTGAGATAGTAAGCTAAATGATACTCCCGGCCATTGACTTTGTAATTCACATTCGGAGCTCGACCTTGTAATATATCATCAAAAATTGGTGATCGATAAAGAATATTTATATCGTTTAAGGTACCTGGAGGTCCAAAAAGTAGATTAGACTGAGATCAAAAGTAGAAAACTGATGGTACCCATTTAACAAATCTTCCAAGCCTTAAAAGATACTTGTTCCAAAACTCTCAGGGACATAACGTCGAACATTTGGTGTGCGTTATTATTCGAAACAAAGCTCTTTCAACTTCGTCGCTGCTGATTCGTCAATTGAGTACTGCAAATGATTGAAAACAAACAATTAACACAAAGGATACCTAGAATCTATGATCTGAAATAAACCCAGAATCTTCGTTACCTTCATGGCCGGTTTCGGAGTTTGATTTGTTTGTGTCTCCGTTTGTACCTGCAAAATAATTGAACAAGAAATTCAACCCAAGTAAACCACCAGAAAATTCATAATCCCAAAAGCACTTAATATTATAAAGAGTAGAGATAGTTGTTTACAAACAAGAACAAAACCAAAAATTAATCGTCGGGTGTTGTTCAGGTTCAGCAGCACATCCAAAACAACAAATTCCACAATCAAATTGCAAAACAATAACGTAGAACCCTAAACAAAACACTCCACGATTCCAAACAAAATTGCAGAGATAAATTCTTTCAAATCCTGAACATCACCATCCATTATCCGTTTCCACCTAACTACAAGTAAGGAAAGAAATCGAAGAACAAGAAGAAGAGCTTCATGATTAATTTTCACCTAACTACCCAAATTGGATTTCGATCAATCTCTAACTGTAATCGAAAGCCCAGGGAGATCGTAATTCCAAAGAGAGAATCGAGGAAACAAGAAAAAATCGCGGCCAATAGAAACGGGACACGTCAGCGTCTCTCTTCCCTTCCAAAATCTCTCTCAAGAGAGACAGTTCTCTTAAAAATATATCATTTTGATTTATTTTTTTACACTTTTAATCTGAGAAACCATGGAGAGAACTCCATTTTTGAACCATTGGAGATGCTCTAAAGAGCATCTTTAAAGGTATGCTTTTAGCAAATTCTTAGGCAGATCTTAGGCATTAATTGATTTAATTTAATTCAAAAATCAAACTTATAGTTAAGAGACGTCTCTTAGCTAAGAGCCAAAACTGAAGTTAAGAGACGGCCACATGTCCGTGTATGAGTGGTTGATAGGTTAAATTAGGCATGGATAAATAAACCGAACCGATATATTTCGAATAACCGAAAATACCCGAAATACATTTCAAAATAATTAGTTATTTATAGACTAAATAATCAAAAATTCTTGAAAATATATAAAAATAGTAAAAATACTCGAACATAACCGAAAAATATCTAGAAATACTCAAAAATAACCGAAATATCTGAAAATATCCTTAGCAAACTAACCGTATGAAGAATGCATCAACAATTGAAGAATGATTTGGTCGAGTATATATGGACAAAATATTCCAGAAATTAAGTTTAAAACATTTGTTCTTTATGTTATTTATGTTATAAATTATATCTTATGTATGTTTTAATTCTTTTAATTTGCAATAATTATTAAATTTTCAATAATCATAAATTTTATTTTTATATTAATATTTTTTTCTTCTAAGAACCACATGTTAAGAGCCTACCATTAATCACACAAAAATCTTAACTCAAAAATACTATCTCTTAACAATACTTTTACATATAAAATACTTAAATATTGCTAAGAAGTATTTCTAAGAGACTACCTATAATCATGCTCTTAATAATATTGAATCGATCCATGATCTTGCGTGATTTTCTTCACATGAGAAGGTATTTTCAAGTTTTAGCAGGGCTTTGTGTGCTTGAGATTGAAACAAAAACCCATCTCAATTTGAGTCTAGTTCATCAATATCACGTGTGTATACATCATTACATGCTATTAATCAATTATCATGCATATTACTACATTTGTCAAACGTAGGAAATTTTCTAGAACCAAATTAACAAATTTGAAGTTCAGGATCTGTATATTATAGCAAAAAACCAAATTTTCCTTTTTTCCTTTTTTTGCGCCAGTATATTTATATAAAATACCAAAACAAAATTAAGAAACAAATTCAAAGCAACCAAAACCATACAAAAAAAATAGATAAATTACAAAAATAGAAAAGAATAAACGAAAAACAACCACACGTACATATAAGGAAATGAAAACCATCCTTTACGTAGCCTCTTCTTAGTAACCTCCTAAGCCATGAAATAGTCGCCAAAGCCTTTTTCTTCTTCTTTGTTTCTAATTGCTTTCTACGACAATCGATCGTGGAGAAGTCTACCTCGTAGACCTCTCTCTCAAACCAAATTCAATTACCATTGTTTGTTATCTGATGTCGAATATGCAATTCTCTCGTAGTTTTAATCCCTTTGTTCTCCTCTTCTGTCTCGCCGTTGTTGTACCAACTATATCGGCTGATGTCGCTATCTTGAGAACGGACTATTACCAAAAAACATGTCCTGATTTCAACAAAATCGTGCGTGAAGCCGTTACAACCAAACAAGTTCAACAACCAACAACTGCGGCCGGGACACTCCGTCTCTTTTTCCACGATTGTTTCCTTGAAGGTTGTGATGCATCCGTCTTGATCGCGACCAACTCGTTTAACAAAGCGGAACGTGATGATGATCTCAATGATTCCCTCCCGGGAGATGCTTTTGACATCGTCACTCGCATCAAGACAGCTCTCGAGCTGTCTTGTCCTGGTGTAGTGTCTTGCGCAGATATCCTAGCGCAGGCTACACGTGACCTTGTCACAATGGTAGGAGGACCTTACTTTGACGTAAAGCTTGGTCGTAAAGACGGATTCGAATCCAAAGCCCATAAAGTCCGAGGAAACGTCCCAATGGCAAACCAGACCGTTCCCGACATCCACGGGATATTCAAGAAAAACGGGTTCACTCTTCGCGAGATGGTAGCATTAAGCGGCGCTCACACCATTGGATTCTCTCACTGCAAAGAGTTTGCCGACAGGCTTTACGGATCCAAAGCTGATAAAGAAATCAACCCGCGATTTGCAGCTGCTCTCAAAGATCTTTGCAAAAACCACACCGTGGATGACACAATCGCGGCGTTTAATGACGTGATGACTCCGGGAAAATTCGACAACATGTACTTCAAGAACCTAAAGCGAGGGCTAGGGCTTCTAGCTTCCGACCATATCCTTATTAAAGACAACAGCACCAAGCCGTTTGTGGATCTATACGCAACTAACGAGACAGCATTCTTTGAGGATTTCGCTCGTGCGATGGAGAAACTTGGCACGGTCGGTGTCAAGGGCGATAAAGAAGGAGAAGTGAGACGTAGGTGCGACCACTTCAATAATCTCAACGTTTAAGAAGAAAAAGAAAACACAAAACAATATAAATATAATATTATTCGGTTTTTTATTTGCGGGGAGATATTGATGAGAAGAAAGGTTTGGTTGGTATATATGTTTAATAACTATCGTATCATAAGGAAGATCGTGTAACAATTCAAGATGGGATGTTTAATTTTTCCATAAAATATGCAAACTGTTGTATTGAAAGTATATAGATAAAAAATAAACATATTATATATCGAACAGTTGTAGTTAACATACATTTTATAGTTGATTGATATTTGATTATGTTGCCAAGCAAATTAAATTGTAGTTAACAGATATTTTATAGTTGATATTTGATAATGTTACACAACAATGAATTCATTTGTTTCCAGTTAAATGACAGAAAACCACAATGACAGAAGAAGTCAGAAATCACAGAATACTATTTCTATTAAATTTTGTAAATCAAGTCTCCAAACAGTAAATGAAAGAGATATAAATGGGACAAAAATGATTGAGATCGATAAAGCTTAATGGAATATATGAAATTAGAGGAATATTGTCATGTCGTTCATTTCCACTGCAATATATATATATATATATATATATATTATATACTAATGAAATTAATATTCGGCTTTGAAATTAGTTCGTTTTTCTTATTTTTGTAGAGGAATGAATAAAATTTGTATTCCATGATTTCCATTGTAAATGATAAAATTTTAGTTGTATATTTTATTTATTCCAATTATTTTACAGTAAAGCCACAACTAATTGATTACGCCTAAAATACATGCCTAAATATTTTAATATTATGCTAATTTCTGGTTTGAATCGCAATTTTGATGCATATAGCCTTAATAATATTTAATGGAAATTACGAAATACATTAATATTCATCAAATTTGATTTTAATTTGGGATATCATCAGTGATGATTCATCACAACGTTTCAACTTGAGCTGTTGTTGTTGTTGTGATGTTTTTGAGGTTAGCTTTCGGTCCACCGCAATTTTCGTTAATTATAGCCGTATGTGTAAGGGGAGTGGCGACGCGTGACATGAGCCATCTAAGAATAGCATGTGTTTCAATAACACTTTTATGTTGGAAACTTTTTGTTGCTTATAAATTGGATCACAGGTTAACTATAGTTCTTTAATCTATTCTATCTAGTGTTCTGCTTCCCAAACAAACAAACAAATGAAGTTCTTGTTTTACCTTGTTGTGTTCTTTCTCCTCTTAAATGGTTTCACAGCCAACAGAGTTGCAAATTCCCTGATTCGAGATTCTTGTAAGAAAGCTTCAAAAAATTCAGAACCCACATTACTACAAGTTCTGCATTGCATCTATTAGCGAAAACCCGGAGAGTCAACAAGTAAAAACTATCGATGAATTGATCGGGGTAGGAGTGAAAAACGCTATTTCTAACATGACGAATGTGAAAGGAATTGTGGAGAGGATTCTGAAGGAAAGAAAGTATACGAGTAAACTAAGTGAGAAGATGTTGCGCGTTTGTGTTAAGCTTTATTCTGAGGGCACTAACTTGTTAATCAAATGTTTAGGGTACATTAAATTGCGGGATTTTGATAAACTCCACAATACTATTCGTCATGCAAGAGTTGTTCCAAGAGAGTGTGAAATGGGATTCAATGACGATAATAAACAGAAATCTCCGGTGACAAAAGAGAACGATGTTCTCTTCGACACCGTCGAAATTGCTCAAGCTTTTAATTACTATGCTCATGTAAATCCGGAGATTTAGTGTCTAGCCAAACAGTCCGTCAGTTATAGGTGGCAATGTTTCTTATTTTGTTATGAAATATTGAATTAATGAAAAATATAAGGTCAGAGTTTACAACTTCCATGCATGGAGATAAGAGTGAATCTAAGTTGCACCATTTCAAATCTTGTCTCTTATTTTCACCTTTTCTAAATTTCTTTAACAATAAGCTACAATTAAAAGTTAAAACACATCTTTTAAAAAAAAATATGTTCTTACCACACTTCTCAATTTCTTAAAATTTTGTGTACATATATATAGCACTCCTTAAGAATAATTCAGAAGAGAGAAGAGAAGTGAATTTATAAAAGAAGGTCATGTTCAAAACTACGTTTAGCTTATATCTTCTCTGTTAGAATTTAGACTTTAATATTCAAGTGTTAAGAAATGACTTCGATAACCCTAGAGAATTAGTGGAAGGTGTACGTACATCGTCTCTTTTCCACATAAAATGCTTCACATGAAAGGAAATTTAGTTGTTCAGAGAAAAAGAAAGTAAAGCTAGTTGTGATGCAGGGAGCATCTAGAAGCTTTCCTTTTTACTCTGTTGCCTTTTGCTCTGTTTTAACATATTAAGAACTATGTGTTTTTTCCTTCTTTTCTTTTAGTTAAGTTTCTTCTTTTCTAGTTAGCAATAGGCTTTAGCATTCTCTATATAAGAGAACGACCTATTGAGATGTAAGGGACCTTATTATTGAATTATTATCAAGAGCTTTTAAACTCTAAATCCACTTGTTACGGCAGAACTTACGAGTTCTCAACGCATCAAGAAGACATTGATTCTTGGGTATTCTTAGACTAAACAAGATCTTTGTGCTATCGTAGCTACTGCTACACCAGTTGGTATCAGAGACTAGTGCTTTAATTTCTCAATTGAAGCCAGATCCTACGCTATCTATCACCTTTAAGATGGCACCACGCAAAACCATGGACCAACAACAAGATGAGTTTCGAGAGACCTTGGAAACTTTCACGGCTGGTTTACAAGAGGCGTTGCAACAAGCAGTCACAAACGCGTTGACGACGGTGTTACAACAGCAGCAGCAGAACCAGAACCGTAATCCAAGAGAAGAGATTGATGATGACGACGATGACGAGATCGTCGACAATTTATTCGCAGGCCCAATACGTCAAAATCAAAATCAACAAATTCGTGTTCACCACAACAACAACAACAACCCAATCAATAATAACGCGTTAGCTAATCTGGATTCAAGCTCGATATTCCAGAGTTTTCAGGGAGTCTTAAGGCGGAGGAATTTCTTGATTGGCTTAACATGGTGGAAGAAGTTCTAGACTTTAAAAAAGTCCCTGATGATGTACGTGTCTCGCTAGTCGCAACAAGATTCAAGAGTAGGGCCATGGCATGGTGGACTCAACTCAAAGAATCTCGGCGTCGCTCAGGAAAATCAAAAATTGATTCATGGGAAAAACTTAAAAAATATATGCGTCGAAGTTTTCTTCCTTACAATTATGAGCGCACATTGTATACAAAGCTGCAGAATTTACGTCAAGGATCACGCACAGTGGATGAGTATGCTACAGATTTTTTTGAGATGGTTGCTCGTACTACGTTACTTGAGACAGAAGACCAACTCGTTTCCAGATTTATTGGTGGTTTACGAACACAACTTCAAGTACCTTTGCAGCAATTTAATCCAACAACAGTTTCTGAAGCTCATCAACGTGCGTTAGGGATGGAGATACAATACCGATCTAATTGGGGCTCAACAGGTTCACGCACTCGCTTTCAACCTCAACTTCAAAGTGAATTTAGTGTTACTCAGCCAACAGACTCTGTTGCGACACGTCCTAATGTATCAAAAGCAGGGGCTCCGGCTGATTCAATTGCTGCATCTCGTCAGCCTCGAACTGGTGCTTTACGTTGCTACAGTTATGGTGAGAATGGACACAGACAGACTGCTTGCCCCAATCAGACTCGTCGCGGACTACTTACTCAAGAAACAGAGGTCAATGATGAACCTCGCTTTGATGACTACCTTTCGGATTCAAACCAAGAACATGATATCGATATCATTGGAGGAGATACAGGAAATGGGTCACAAATGTTGGTTATTCGCCGGAATTGTCTAATGCCGCGATCAACAAAAGAATCATGGCTCCGTACAGCCCTTTTCCGCTCCACATGTACAATCAAAGACAAAATTTGCAAGATCATCATTGATTCTGGTAGCTGTACTAATGCTATTTCCGAAGAGGCTGTTCGTAAATTAGGGATAAAATCAGTATCTCATCCTGCTCCCTACCCACTCGCTTGGCTCAATAATGGAACAGACATCCGTGTATCAAAACAAGCATTGGTATCATTCTCCATTGGCGTTTATAAGGATTCTGTGTATTGCGATATACTGCCAATGGACGCTTGTCATCTCTTGTTAGGTCGCCCGTGGCAATTTGACCGCGCCACAAATCATAATGGAAAGGACAACACTTATAGCTTCACGTTTGAAGGTCGTACGGTCACATTACTTCCATCTAAAGAAGTAACAGAGCTTTCTCCTCCATCATCACATATGCCTATTCTTCATTCGTCATCACTTCCTTCACAGTCATTATTGATTCTCCCTAAATCTGCTTTTGAGAGTCAAATAAGAGAATCAGACATGATTTTGGTATTGGTAGCGTCACCGTCTACAAAATTCACGTTGTCATCGGTTCCTCCCGCTTTTGATGAGTTGCTATCAGAATTTCATGATGTCTTTCCGGAGACATTACCTTCGGAGCTGCCACCATTACGTGATATACAACACCACATAGACCTTGTCCCTAATTCAGTGTTACCAAACCGTCCGCATTACCGAATGAGTCCACAAGAGCATGACGAGTTACGTCGCCAAGTAGAGGAGCTGTTAGTCAAAGGACATGTTCGCGAGAGCCTAAGCCCCACTGCAGTTCCAGCCTTACTAATCCCAAAGAAAGATGGCTCTTGGAGAATGTGCGTTGATAGTCGCGCCATTAATAAAATTACAGTTCGGTATCGTTTTCCTATTCCACGTTTGGATGATTTGTTAGATCAAATTGGGCGCTCTACCATATTCACGAAATTAGATCTCAAGAGTGGATATCATCAAATTCGAATTCCGCCCGGAGATGAATGGAAAACGGCTTTCAAGACACGTGAAGGTCTATTTGAGTGGATGGTTATGCCGTTTGGTCTCTCTAACGCACCTAGCACATTTATGCGTGTGATGAACCAATCTCTTCGTCCTTTTATAGGGAAGTTCGTTGTTGTTTACTTTGATGACATTTTGGTGTTTAGTGACGAGTTGCAAAGTCATTTGAAGCATTTGGAGTCCGTACTTCTTGTTTTAAGACGAGAGAAACTGTTTGCTGCTCGACAAAAGTGCGTCTTTGGCGCAGATCAGGTCTTGTTTCTTGGTTATATAGTGTCTTCTCGTGGCTTGGAAGTGGACCCTAGTAAGGTAGAAGCTATCAAATCATGGCCAACTCCAAAATAAATCAGCGACGTACGAAGTTTCCATGGACTTGCTTCTTTTTATCGTCGCTTTGTTCATCATTTTAGCAACGTTACATCACCACTAACAGATTGCATGAAAGGAACTTCTTTTCTTTGGACATCAGAAGCAGATGTAGCGTTCCGCACAATCAAAAGCAAGCTTACGTCAGCTCCAATTTTGGCTCTCCCTGATTTTTCATTGGTTTTTGAATTACATTGTGACGCTTGCAAGATGGGGATCGGAGCGGTGTTAAGTCAACAAGGACGTCCAGTCGCTTTCTTTAGCGAGAAGATTGCCGGTTCTCGAGCTCGTTATAGTACATATGACGTAGAGTTTTACGCTATTGTCCAAGCTATCAAACATTGGCGGCATTATCTTTTTCACCAAGAGTTTATACTCTACACGGATCATGATGCGTTAAAACATTTGGGTAGTCAAGACAAGATTTCAGCTCGCCATGCCTCTTGGATAGCTTTTCTACAACAATTCACATTTGTTATCAAACACCAATCCGGTCGCACAAACAAAGTTGCTGATGCTTTAAGTAGACGTAATGCTCTCCTTTCAACGTTACAAGTTTCAGTCCCTGGCTTTGCTTCTTTTGCCGATCTATATCCGCATGATCATTTCTTTGGACGAATATGGGAAGAGTTACAAGCTGGTGTTGTTCCCGATTTTACATTACAAGATGGATTTCTGTTTCGTGATCGTCGCCTATGTGTTCCTGAATGTAGCCTACGGTTAAAAATAATTAAAGAGCTTCATGAAGAAGGACACGTCGGACGTGATAGAATGCTTTAATTGGTGGCAGATTCATATTTTTGGCCTTCACTACGACGTGATGTCGCTCGATTTGTTGAACGTTGTGTGGTTTGTCAACGGTCTAAAGGTCATGCTTCGAATAGTGGTCTTTACATGCCTCTCCCGGTTCCTACTCAACCATGGACAGATATTAGTATGGACTTCATATTAGGCTTACCTCGTACTCAACGTGGCAATGATTCTATCTTCGTGGTTGTTGATCGTTTTTCTAAGATGGCACATTTTATTCCTTGTAAGAAGACGACGGATGCAGTTCAAGTGGCTCTTTTGTTTTTTCGTGAGATATATAGACTCCATGGTCTACCGTGCTCTATTGTCTCAGACCGAGACTCCCGTTTTCTTAGTCACTTTTGGCGCTCTCTTTGGCGTTTGCTTCGAACCGACCTTGACATGAGCTCAGCTTATCATCCGCAATCTGACGGACAAACAGAAGTCACAAACCGTTCGCTGGGAGATATGCTTCGGTGTCTCGTTGGTGAACATATTAAGTCATGGGATGCAGTATTGTGCAAAGCAGAATTCGCCCATAACCATGCGGTTAATCGGAGTACTCGTTTCAGTCCATTTCGTGTGGTGTATGGAATTGTTCCACGTGGACCTGTGGATTTAAGTGTCACACCAGATGCTACTCGTGATCACGGTCAAGCTGTGGATTTTGTTATCGACTTATCATTCATTCATGCACAAGTCCATGACAATTTACAGGTCTCATCTGCCAAATACAAGGCTGAAGCTGATCGTCATCGCCGTGATGTTCAATTTCGTGTGGGTGATCTTGTGTGGGCAGTCTTGACACGCGATCGTTTTGCTCCACGTGATTATAATAAGCTTAAGGCGAGGAAGATAGGACCTTTGGAGGTCTTGGAAAAAATCAATGCAAATGCATATCGTGTTAAGCTTCCACCTCATGTTCGTTGTTCCGACGTGTTTAACGTGAAACACCTTGTTCCAGACTTTTCACCAGAAGAACCTGAAGATTCGAAGTCGAATCTTCTTCTACCTGGGGTGACTGATGCAGGGAGCATCTAGAAGCTTTCCTTTTTACTCTGTTGCCTTTTGCTCTGTTTTAACATATTAAGAACTATGTGCTTTTCCTTCTTTTCTTTTAGTTAAGTTTCTTCTTTTCTAGTTAGCAATAGGCTTTAGCATTCTCTATATAAGAGAACGACCTATTGAGATGTAAGGGACCTTATTATTGAATTATTATCAAGAGCTTTTAAACTCTAAATCCCCTTGTTACGGCAGAACTTACGAGTTCTCAACGCATCAAGAAGACATTGATTCTTGGGTATTCTTAGACTAAACAAGATCTTTGTGCTATCGTAGCTACTGCTACACCAAGTTGATATCCATTTGATAAAAAAGCTTTCAATGCCATATATCAATAATGATGAACATATACCTTGTTTCATTTCTAGTGATGGTTAAGTCTTTGTTCAGTAAAAAAGTCTTTGTTCAGTATATTTCTATATGTTCTTTAGTTTCTGACATATGTGAAGATTAAAACTTGATGGTTATATATATACTTTTGAAGTTCATTGTCCTTAGTACGTACCTTTTCTATTCAGTCTACTGATTTGAAGCAACTTTAGTACTGGTTATAGATGTTAGAGTATCCCACATTGAAAGTGGAGATAACTCAACACTATACGAGAATATAAAGGGTATTAGTCTTTTTACTTATTGCTACCTGGTGTTGAGTTAGAACTAGTAAACCCAAGCGGTTATAGCCAATCCAAGAAGAGTCATTATCTAATTAAATCAATCATGTGGATGAATTGTCGTGCGTTTGTCATATTTCCACAAAAAGTTCTAGTATATCAAAAAGTTCTAGTATATAAAATCATGTTAGTATCAATATGTAGAAGTTCTAGTATGTTTAATTTTCAAATTTGACTATTTGTTTTTGTTAATATATAGTTCTTTCCTAAAGTAATTTAGCCTTTTACTTTTATTTTTATAACTTAATTATTTTTATTAATTTAGATATAGTTCTTTCCTAACGTATTTTTAAAGTTCTAGAGGTAAGTCTCACTCTTTAACCTTTTTGCGGATGATGCCATGATCTAGATAAGTACCTAACCCTATACACTCAGCTGATGTCTTATATATTCATGAGAGTATGAGACTATAGAGGAAAATTTTGACAATAACAAAGATACATTAGATTGTGATAGAAAAACCTTGTGGCAACCCTCTAGAACTTCGAAAGAAACCCGCAAGCATTGTTAACAGAAAATAAAGAACGAAAGTTGACAAAAAAATGCAATGAAGTACCAAACTTAACGAAGTAAGCGGAGTGGTAACGCATGACATGAGTCATCTAAAAAAAGCATGTCTTTGAATAGCAGTCTCATGTTATAAGATTTTTCTTTGCTTATAAATTAGATCTCAAAGTTACTAAAGTGTTCTTTAATCTATTCTATCCAGTGTTGTGATTTCCCAACAAAAATAAAGCAATGAAGGTCTTCATTCGCCTTGTTGTATTCTTTCTCCTCCTCAATGGTTTCATGGCCAATAGAGTAGCAGATTCTCTTATTCAAAAATCTTGCAAGGAAAATTCAAGATATATATGCGGAACCATACACCTACAAATTTTGTATTACATCTATCAAAGAGAATCCAGAGAGCCAAAAAGTAAGAAATGTAGATGAACTGACTGTGGTATGTACGAATAGCGCAATATCAAACCTAACAAAAGTGAAAGGAATTGTAGAGAATATTTTAAACGAGAAAAAGTATAAGAATAAGTTGAGTCATACGTTCTTACGGGAGTGCCTCAAGCTTTATTCTGAGGGCTATGAGTTGTTAATCTCAGCTATGAAATACCTCAAAACACGGGATTACGAGAAATTTATAGGAAATATGGATATGGCAAAAGGTAAACCAAAGAGCTTGTGAAATGAAATTCAACGATGACAATCACCAAATATCTCCGGTGAAGAAAGAGAACATCGTTCTCTTCGACATGATCAACATTCCCTATTATTTTTGTTTCAATGCTCATATTAACGGCTAGGTTGTAGCAAAGCAATTGGTTACACTGTAACGTTTAATGAATATAGTGCTGCACAGAACTAGTAGTCCAATATTTTTGGATGTGTCTATTTCATGTAGTTTTTTGTTAATGTAGAAAATGTCTATTTCCTCCCCATCCCCCAATTTTGCCCAATCTTCTCTATTTACTATATAAAACTTGAGTTTCCTCTCTCTTCTGAGGCCATCTACGTCATCTTTAAAATCTAAAGTTGTGATCCAATGAAAAAAATATAGAAACCAATGAAAACATCATATCATTATCATCTTTAATTACTTGTCATTCGTTGCATTCGTGACAATATACCTTACCAGTGTTAAAAACGAGAGCATTAAGAATAAGCCTTGATATATCGTTCAGAAAATTTCCAAACAACGAAAACATTACTAGAACACCAAATTAGGACCCAGAATAATGAAGCAATAATACAATATAGCAAAGGAAGAATTGACTCGCGGTTTCTAGATAAGTCAATAAGATCTTAAACATGTTAGCAAAATTTTCCTCAGAATTTGTCGAAGTATGTATCTCTTTTGTTTTCAGTGATTATTTGGTTTCTTGTGGAGATTAATATTGAGAAGATCATGTTTTGTATCACGAGAGACTTATTCACGTTGTTCTGAATATCATTACAAATTGACATGAGAGAAAACATGTTGCATAATGCTTTTAACATTGAAAAAAAAAACAGAGGCCGAAAAGCGACAACGTATAAGTAAAGAACAAAGTTAAAATGAACAATATAATTAGGTCATACGAAGTAAGTGGAGTGGTAAAGCGTGACATGAGCACTCTAAAAACAAGCCGTTGTGTTAGATACCAAGTCTTATTTGGTAAAAAAACACCGTTAGAATTATTACTTTTTATTTACTATAAATTGGTTTACAAAGTTAAAACTTCTTCATCAATTTTTCTATAATTCTCCGAAGAATTTTTTTCAAAATGACGTTCTTGCTCTACCTTGTTATGTTCTTTCTGCTCTTAAACGCTTTCGCAATGGCACAATCTTTGATCCGAGATTCTTGCAAGAAAGCTGCAGATCAAAACCCAAAGATTCATTACAATTTCTGCGTTAAGTCTCTCGAAGAGAATCCGCATAGCAAAACCGCACGTAGTCTTGATAGGTTGGTCATGTCATCCACAAAAAACGCAGTGTCGAAAACAACAAGCATGAAAGGAATTGTGGACAAGATTCTCAAAGAGAATAGATATGAAAAGTACAGTGAGAAACCATTACGCGATTGCCTCGAGCTTTATTCGGATGCTACAAATTCCTTAACCGAAGCTTTAACGATCATTAAATCGCGTGATTACAAAACCGCTAACGTGGTTATAAGTGCCGCAGTGGGTGCACCACCTAGTTGCGAAATTGGATTCAAAGAAGGAAAAGAACCTCTCAAATCTCCATTTACAAAAGATAACGATGTTTTGTTTCAAATGATTTTGATTCCTTTAGCTTTTACAAATATGTTGAAAACTTGAAATGAAACTACATATGCAAGTGTATTGTTAGGATTCCTACGTCTCAAATGAGAACATTAATTTAAGGTAGTATATAAATGAGATGGACTAAATTACTCACTACGTATCAATCCTTCCGCATTAAAAAAAAATACTATAATACGTGTCACATTTGTAAACTTTTTTCTTCCATATTGGGCAACCAATCATAAAGTTATCTTTTAATTAATGTGTGGTTGAAAGAAAAAAATTACGTAAGAATACGTTTGTCGTCCAGGACCTTGTGGTTTAGTGGTAAGGAGACGGACTTGAGGCGTTGATCTACCTGCTGCGTGAAACTCCAACACATTGTTTCTGGACACCCATATGGATATGAGCTCTTGCTTTCGGCCCATTTGAATATCCGGAGAGAGGGTCTATCCATGGGCTGCATCTCCCCTATGGATTAGTTTGGGCCCCTCCATAGGCCTAGGATCTATACCCTGAGTTATCAACAAAAAAAAAAATACATGTTTGTCAAAAAATGATAAAAATAGATAAGAAATGTAACTTTTTTGTTAAATTTTTTTTTTTCTGATATGATTTTTGTAATGATAAGTTTTATCAAGATGGTGTATTCTCCAACCGAATGGCCGACATTTTCAGTGTATTTGGAGAAGTTACAGATCGACAAGGAGGATTTCACAAATTTCTCTCTATCTTTAATTTCTTGTAGTGCAAATGAAAAACTGGATAATTTAGCACGAAAGATTCGTACCAAACCGCATCACATCAACTCAAATTCAAACGTTGAGCATTAAAGTCAAGAAATCAAAACGGACACATTTAAGAAGGAATAATTGTACTTAATTACTCATTTTAATGTCGTTTCTCTATGTATAAATATAAAGGCAAATGGCCATGTAAAGGGGATCTCTCTCTAGAGCAAGAAATACGATAGCAATTTTTGTAGCAATTCATAAGCCTTTTACGTTCTTATTTTTTGTCCCTCAAGAATAATCTTGCCTACTAATAAAAATACTTGAGTGTGTGAATCCGACATCCACAAATAATTTAGCACGAAAGGTTCGTACCAAACCGCATCACATCACATATGTAAACAACATTTCTCAGAAGTGGTTCTTTTGAACTCTAATTAATCGCGGTTGACAAAAAAAAAAGTTTTGATGAAAATGTTAAAAGATAATAGCTTTGATTTTGTATTGAATTGTTGATGAAAATGGCATAATGGTAGAAGAGTTATCATTTTTGATAGTATATGCATGATTTTTAGAAAATGGAAACACCTTAAAAAAAACACGTTGACTAAGTTGAACGTGCGTATATGGAAAGCAAATATTGCATGTTGACTATCAAACAAATAAATTATGAATTTAGAAAATAATGTTAAATGTAGAATATAACTCAATATGGAATACTAATATCTATTTTCAAATTGGGAACTTTTCCAAATATAATTTTCAACAATTATACAGTAATTATGGCAAAGCCGACGTTAGATAAGAGTCTTACCATAAAATTGTTTGTTCTTTTCTACTATAAATTGAAACACAAAGTGTGACAATATTCTTCATCAATCAATTCTAACTTTCTCTGCTTCTTCTTCTCAAAGTAAAAAAAATAAAATGAAGTTGTTGGTTTCATTGGTTATCGTCTCTATTTTCTTGAACGGTTTCGCAACCGCTCAAACTCTCATTGAAGATTCTTGCAAGAAAGCTTTCGCGAAAGACCCGCAGGTGACATACGAGTTCTGCGTCAAGTCTCTTACAGAAGATCCACAAAGCAAAGCCGCGACTACTCTCGAAGGTTTGCTCCTAGCATCGACGAAGAACGCTGCAGCAAAATTTACAAACATGAAAGGAGTCGTTCAACAAGATATCAAGGACAAGAGATATGCTGATATTGTGGGATTGTTACGCTTATGCCTCGGATTTTATGACGATGCTAATGATGATTTAAACACTGCTTTAAAGAACGTTCAATCGCATGATTATGAAGGCGCTAACATTAATCTGAGTGCCGCTCTGGATGTATCGGGCAATTGCGAGGATGCATTCAAGGAAGACAAAAAGAAGTCTCCGATTACTACCGAGAATGATATTTTGTATAAGAAGGTTTTGATTCCTTTGGCTTTTACTAATATGTTGTGATAAATTTATCAAAGTGTGTCATAAAACATCGATTAATTTTTATTATAGAAATTTGAAGGCAAAGTAACTTTATCTTAATTGATGGAAATAAAATTTAATTCGCTTTACATATATATGATCTCTTTTTTTTTTTTTTTTGACATATAAGAAACCTTAAAAAAAAGCTATTATATTAGCAAATACGCGGATTTTGTTACCTACAATATATAAAAAATGGTTGAAATTCAGTAATTAAACTCTATTTCTTTTGACACTTTTGTTTGAAAAAGAAAAGTAAAAAAAAAAAACAAAGCCAAAAAACGACAGCGTAAAAGAAAGAGTGTTAAAACGAACAATTAGGCCACTCGACGTGAGCGGAGTGGTAAAGCGTGACATCAGCCTTATAAAAAAGCCGTTTTGTTAGTTATCAAAACATAAACCGTTAAATTATTTGTTTCATTTTGCTATAAATTTGATCACCAAATTGATAAGCTTCTTCATCAATCGATTCTCATTAACTCTTTGTTTCTTCTGCTTCCTTAAAGAAAAGAAAAATGAAATTTTTGCTTTACCTTGTTACGTTCTTTGTTCTCTTAAACGGTTTCGCAACCGCTCAAACTCTGATTCGAAATTCTTGCAAAAAAGCTGCAGCTACAAACCCGAAGTTCAAATACAATCTATGCGTCACGTCTCTCGAAACAAATCCGCAGAGCAAAGCCGCAAAAGATCTCGCCGGATTAGTCATGGCATCGACGAAAAACGCCGTGACTAAAGCGACTAGCTTGAAAGGAACCGTTGACAAGATTCTCAAAGGGAAGAAATTTAACAAGATGACTGAGATGCCGTTACGTGATTGCCTCCAGCTTTATACCGATGCTATTGGTTCTTTAAACGAAGCTTCAGCGGGCGTTAAATCGCGTAATTACCCAACCGTTAAAACGGTTCTGAGTGCTGCAATGGATGCACCAAGTACTTGTGAAACTGGATTCAAAGAAAGAAAAGCGCCATCTCCCGTTACGAAAGAGAACGATAATTTGTATCAGATGATTCTGATTCCTTTAGCTTTTACAAATATGTTGAAATGAAATTACTAAAAAGTGTATTAACACATTGGATTAAAGATAATAATACTGATAATGTACCTTAGAGTAATTGGCTTGCTCACTAGAAGCAATGGTCGTAGCCTTTTCAAAGTTTTGAATAAAGATCACAGAAACTTTAGATACACCAAAATCTTGCTGAATTTTTTGGCACATACACTTACCACCCACCAAAATTTTTGGACATCCATCAATATTATATATATACGTACATTATGTATTACAACTAATTATGTTATATGTATGTACATAATATCTTAAACCAAATTAGTATTTATCCAGACTCCAGTCACAACTTATGGTCATGGGATAACTCAAAGAGGCCAATAATAGAGCATGACGACAAGGTTTACCTTAGGACCCCCGTTCATGTGGTGGCCGTACGTCTATTATATACGTTCAAGAAAGAAGAACATTGCAATATCTCGATTTCTAAAAAGATGGTGGTGCATATAGAGAAACAATTTTTTGATTTGACTACGTATATTATGGCCATGTTTCTTTTATGTAATTCATTGTGAGAGAATTCCAAAGTTGAACGCGATTGAGGTGAAACAATTGTAGGATGAAAGATCTAGTGACTTCTTCAGTATCATGTGAGCGAGGACACAATGAGGAAAAGGATTTCGATGTAATCTACAAAACCATTTGGTAAACATTGATCTATTTCTTTGACAATTTGATCATTGCATATACTTTTATTTACTAGACATTGGTCCAGTTCTTACAACACTGAAATAATTTGTTTGTTTGTTTGTGGGAAAAAAAAGGCAAACAAAAAACGCCAACGTATAAGAAAGAGTGTCAAAACGAATAATCAGGATACATGAAGTTAAGCGGAGTGGTAAAGCGTGACATGAGTACTCTAAAAAAAGCCATTTGTATTATTTGTTTCATTTTATTTATAAATTTGATCACAATGTTTCAAATTATTCATTACTCGACGACTCTCAATAATCTTTGTTTCTGCTTCCACAAAGAAAAAAAGAAAAGAAAATGAAGTTCTTGCTTTACCTTGTTATGTTCTTTCTCCTCTTAAATTGTTGCGCAACCGCACAATCTCTGATTCGAGATTCTTGCAAGAAAGCTGCAGCTACAGACCCGAAACTCAAATACGATTTCTGCGTCAAGTCTCTTGAAGAGAATCCGCAGAGCAAAACCGCAAAAAGTCTTGAAGGATTGGTCTTCGCATCGACCAAGAACGCTGTTTCGAAAACGACGAGCTTGAAAGGAATGGTTGACAAGATTTTCAAGGAGGATAAATATGAAGTGGAGAGGCCGTTACGTGATTGTCTCGAGCTTTATACCGAAGCTATTGATTCCTTAAACCAATCTTTAGACACTGTTAAGTCGCGTGATTACAAAACCGCTACCATGCTTATGAGTGCTGCAATGGATGCACCTGGAAGTTGCGAAAGTAGATTCACAAAAAGAAAAAAGGCTGTGAAATCTCCATTTACGAAAGAGAACGATGTCTTGTTTCACATGGTTCTGATTCCTATAGCTTTTACAAATATGTTAGATATGAAATAACCAAAAGTTTTAGGTAACAATAGTGATAATGTACCTCAGAGTAATGGGCTTATTCACTGTAAGAAGCAATGGTCGTAGCTTTTTCAAAGTCTTGAATAAAGAGTTATCTGCATAAACATCACAGAAGGTTTAGATAACTGCACTCTTTCTGAAAATACCAATGCTAATAAATTTGGTGTTTTGCATTCAATAACCGAGACAAACCAGATAGGACATGGCTCATATGGCATCAAATCATACAAGCGTCATGTAAGAGTAAAAGTCAAACAGTTTCTGGTTTCTTACATGCGTGCAATGCGAAGCCCATCTTCGCTATCTTCATCTTCTTCTTTATTCTTCTGATCATCATTGTCGCGGTTGTAGTTACTTGATGATCCCAACAAGAAAGGTTGATCCTTTAGAATTGAAACCTGATCCATCGGAATAGCATTTCTCTTATAGTTCCAAACCAACATCGATGTGTAATCCTGAGGCGAAACGAGTCCTTTCTCTCTAATAAATCTCTTTTGCTCTTCTAAGGTTTTTGGTTCATCGAGCGTTAAGTACTCGATCAAAAACTTCTCGTGCTCGGGCCTCCAATTACCAGGAAAAGGCGAGTAATCAGTTTCAGGAACTAGAGACATTCTTGTATAAACAAGTCCATCAACCGATTCAGCAAGACCCATTCTCAAGAGATCCTGATATTCTGGTGACTTACCTTTCTTCCCCAACAACGGAAGGCTCAGATTACGATTAGCGAACTTATACACTTTTGCTCTTGATCTAAGTTTATACTTTGCAGCATAAAGCTTAGCAAGTGAACCACGGATAATATAAGAGCAAAAATTCACAATTTTCTTCCGGTTATCTGCAAACCGATACCACTCAGCAACCGTAGTCAAAAACTTATTCATCTGATTATTCGTATGAGCTTGAGTTGCGTGGAACATTCTAAAACAAGGTTGTGGATCCGGATCCCGATCTCCTTTTATAAAATTCAGCTTTCGAAACTGTTTGATGCATTGTTTCAAACTCGCTGTAACGGATAAAAGTGTTCCCACGCCTTTTTCGCTTATAATCTTCCCGCCGGTCGCAGTATACCTCAGAGTCGGATAAACAACTCGGCGACACAAAACATGATCAAGAAACATTATACCTTTTGTTATATGTTCAATGGGTAGATTCTCATTGTCGAGTCTAAGCATATACTTCTGATCAACAAACTCAATAAGCTCTTTCCTTAATGTTGCAGCATCAGCTCGAGGTCCACGGACACCGATCAAGATATGACCTCCGTATCTAACATAATCCATTTTCCTCGTTTTGTCAGGACCACTTGTGGGAACAAACTCCGGCCATGAGGTGTTTCCTTGATCTGCTTCTCCTTCTGGGTTATTCCATATAACATCGCTTTTAGAAGGACGGTAAAAGTCTTTCACTTTCGTTTCCATCCAACGATCAAGCTCATCTAGACATACATTAACCAAAAGAGGACTAAGAATCCCGCAATGTCCCCACTGCGGAGACTTCCCAGCTTCTTCAGGAGCAAAACCAAAAAAGGTCTCTAACCAATAAGGATCAGGCTTGGGCTCATCGTCAGCCAAAACCCGTTTTTTCTGATACTTTCTCTTCTTAGTTTTCTTCTTCTCACCATCCTCCACTTTGCTCGTTACAACAGGCGTAACCAACGCAGATTTGATCAAATCAATCACTTTCTTATCTCTAACATCTCTCATCAAAGAACTAATCACAAACCCAACTTTCATTCCATCCAAAACAACACTCAAATCACCCTTAACATACCACAAATAACCCGCGAAATTCCTCCGAATCACTCTCAAAACCGTATGCGCAGTTCTCCCGGGCCTAAAGGCAAACGACTTCTGCGAAAACCGAGACTCGTATATCGGTTCCAAAATCATCAACAGAACTTCCTGAACAATCCTATCCTGAAACGCAGTCGGTTGCGTGGTCGTCAAAATCGCTTTAATCTTCCGCTTAGACAACGACTCGTAATCAGTCTTATCCCTAGGAGATTTGATATAGAAATCCAAACGAGAACCCCATTTAAACCGATCATCAAGAACAGAATTCCTCAAAGCTAACAAATTCTCTAAAGCTGATCTCTGAATAGAGCTACGAGGAACATAAGCACCTAACTCATCACAGCAAACTTTCTGATAAGCTAATACCCATAACTCGAATCTTCGAAGATACGAGGTCAAATTCGTCGCCGTTTTGTCAGGTTCTTTGAAATTCTCAAGCCACATCTGAGAACAAAGAGAAACTCCATCTTCTTTCAATAGATTCGCTGGATCATCTGGATCTGGTGCTTGTCGTCGTTGAGGTGCGAAGTATGAGAGATATCGGAAAATAGCAGAGCCGTTGTTAGGGTTAGAAATGAGAGGAGGATTTGTGATGAAGCAGTATACGTTTGTATACGAAGAAGAAGGTTTGAGCCATTTGTGAGAACCCAAAGCAGAGAAGCTTCTACGCATTTTGGTGAAGGATTAATCGGAAGATGGAAGCTTCGTCTTCGTCGTCTTCTTCAGAGAAAATGGTGGAAACTGGTAGTAGTAACTAGTAACCCTCGTTAAACCCCAAATCAATCAAACCTTTGTGATATTTTTGGTGGGCTTTAGTTGTGAGGAAATGATGAATTGGGCTTTTAGTTATAGGCCCAATTGTTTCAGCCCTAGGTTGTAACTAAAACATACTGCCTCCGTTCCTGAAAGTTTGATGCTCTAGTGTTTTACGTTTGTTCAACAAAGATTGATTTTCTAGCTTTTTATTTTATTTTTTATTAATTGATATTAACAAATCGTAGATTTCAAGGCGTAATGATTACAAAATAATTAATTGTTTTAGATTACTATTGGTTCATATATTATTAAAAAGAAAAAATTATTAAATGATTAAATCATGATTGTTTCTTAGTATATATGTAAACGGGAAAAATGTCATTTAATCGTCCAACTTTCAAAAAATGGCCATTTTATACATGAACTTTATAGAAGGCCATTTTAAACATCAACTAAACGTTGACTGCCGTATTAAACATGAGACTGCGTTGACCTGGCCAATATATACATGACGTTAAAACTCGATAACGGAACCACTAACAGCCGTTATCAGCCGTTAGCTATTCTGTTAGTTAAATCGTCAACTTTCAAATTTAGGCCAATCATCAACTAAACGTTGACCCGGCCAAAAAAGACATGACGTTAAAATCTGCTAACATAACCACTAACAACTGTTATCAATCATTAACGAACAACAAAACTAAAACAAACAAAAAAACATAATACAAAGAACCAAAACACAAACCAAACACCAAAGACACTAAATACCAAAAATAAGAAATTTGTTCTTGATTACTAGTGTGCAGACGAATGGTGAGATCAAGAGAGGTGAACGTAAGACACTAGACAATGATAAGAATTAGATCAAGAAAGATGAACGTAAGACATTAGACAATGGGGTTAATATCCCCATTTTGTTCCATATTCCCATTAGCAAACATAATAAGAACTTTCATCATGCTTTTCCTCCAAAACGTGGACAGAAACGTACTTAAAGTGATTATCTGGTCAGTATTAACCGGATAACTGCCTGAGGAAGCTGATGCGTTTCTTCAAATAGAATGAAAGGCGAAGAGCGGGAGCTAGTGAGGGTAGGACAATCTTGTTGCTTCATCCACCGTGTACCAGCAGCGAAAAGAACCTCTGTTACGGGGTCAAGACACCAATACATTGAGGGTCTTCCGAACTATTCTATTCGGAAGACGCGGCGCCGGTACGGTGATAGCCTGGCCTCCTACGAGGCATGGCGTAATGGGGTATTT